AGGCCAGACAGACCAATCTTGATGAACGCCGTCAACTACGTCTGCTAGGCGCGCTCTATAGTTGAGCACATGACTGTCCGGTATGTCTGCCATAAGAGGAAAGACAGAGTAGTCGAAACAGAGGCATGTGGTGCTGACTGGTACTCGGGTGAAGTAGAAGTAGCAGTTGTTCGTGGAAGGGTTTGAAGGGGCATGGTTGTGTTGAATTGATAGCCACGAAGTGCTTCATTTCAAAATATGGACGCGGTACGGGTGCCAACAGATCACCCAGATCAGCCCGCAAACGCACTGTAAACAAGCACAACACATACGAACCTTCTGGCATCGTTCAATACCATGTAACAAAATGATGAAGACTGATTCGACCAAACAATTTCGGAGCGTTCTGCTGGACACGTTGACTCGTCAAGTTGTGGGCGATCTCGTGGAAGGATAAGTAGGAAATGAACCAATCATGTTACACTTACAGATTCACCAAGAAAATGCACGATGGAATGACACGCTGGCAATGCAATATATATTCCAAGAGTTGCAGAGATTATTGGCTGGAATACATAATGGGGTCAAACACTTAGAAATTCAATCCATAAATTGAAAATAACATAGTGAATTGGCTGTGAAACTCCTGTGGTGTGCTCATCGCATGGATATTAAGTGGTGGAAAAGAGAATAACATAGTCGATTACCTCTGAAACTCCTGTGGTGTGCTCAACGCATGGATATTAGGTGGTGTTGTTTTGCTACCCACGACGCATGCCTTGACGCTTCACTCCTCGCCACTATGCTACCCTTCTCTGATAGCTCTGAAACTCATATGGGGTGCTCATGGCATGGATAGTAGGTGTTGGTAAAGAATTTAGGCCATCCCCAGCAGTCTAGCATGGTTATCCATGCCATAACATCAAGTGCAATGGTGCTGTTCTTGTACCCATGACGCATGCCTTGACGTTTCACTCCTCGCCACTATGCTACCCTTCTCTGATGGCTCTGAAACTCATATGGGGTGCTCATGGCATAGATAGTAGGTGTTGGTAAGGAATTCAGGCCATCCCCAGCAGTCTAGCATGGTTATCCATGCCATAACATCAAGTGCAATGGTGATGGTACTCTACCCACGACGCATGCCTTGACGCTGCACTTCTCGCCACTATGCTACCCTTCTCTGATAGCTCTGAAGCTCATATGGGGTGCTCATGGCATGGATTGTGGGTGTTGGTAAAGAATTCAGGCCATCCCCATCAGTCTATCATGGTTATCCATGCCATAACATCAAGTGCAATGGTGCTGGTTTGCTACCCACGACGCATGCCTTGACGCTTCACTCCTCGCCACTATGCTACCCTTCTCTGATAGCTCTGAAAATCATACGGGGTGCTCATGGCATGGATAGTAGGTGTTGGTAAAGAATTCAGGCCATCCCCATCACTCTAGATACACTTGTTGACCAAAAGAACGCAACATTGCGGAGGTAACGAGCAACCCTGCAAGATATATGGTCTGGCATGCCTGCCAATCAAGAATAAGGTGACAGGTCGGGACCTTAATAGTTGATAGCACCAGCCTAGATTTCTTTAACAAAAAAATAAACCGTTTGGAAGTAACGCAAGTATGTGATAGCCAAAGAATGAGCTAGCAAGTGTCGAGAGCAACCTCTATTGGGCCAAAGGTGACGAAAATAGTGGAATCATGCAAAAATACCAACAGCGACCTACATTGTAAAGGACCTTGTGGGAATGCTGGATAGTAAACAAACTATATTTTTGGGTCACAGAATGCAAGGATATGTGGGCGTTAACGTTATTGTTGCATCTGGGTGTGTGAGCCGGTAAATCGTTTGAAGTTCAGTTTAAGGGCATCAAACAAAACACATGACCGTGCATCTAACAAATCACATACGAAGCAAGTTATCATACAGATCACAAAGCACGGGCAAAGGTGACTTAGCCAAACTGTCTCAATAATTATCTTCTTTAAACATATTAATCTCTCACAAACATGGCTGATTCATTTCTTAGTGGTGATGAGTGGTTGAACAGTGGCTGCCATTTTTTTCAGCTTCCACGTTCTAGGCAGTCGAGGGCAGTGGCTTCCTTATTTTCAGAGATGCACGTTGAGTGCGGTGCGCAGCGCACAATGAGTTTTCATGTCGACCGTCAGATGCATACGCTTTTGCCAATCTTTGTATTTTACGCACGAAGTTGCTTTCTCACCTGCCCTCCACAAGCCGTGGATCCTCTCACCCACCCACCCGTAGCATAGTCATCATCGTCTTAGTCACACAGACAAACAATAGTCATCTCATTATCTTGCCGTAGTTCTGTAACTCGCCAACTCTCTCATGCGTTCTGTTGGTGTTCGAAGCATCTTCAGTGTCAGGACCATGACTTGTCAGTTTTTGGTTGTGTAGGTCACATTGTTCCGTTGATAGAGCCTTCTAAGTTCCGTCTACCTCCTTGTTCCCTCGTTCGCGAAGCTCAACACATGATGGATGTGTCATATAGCTGTCATAATTTCTCAAGGAAACGGATAGACCCATAAGACGATTAAGCAGCGCGCGATGACCGTCATCGTCACTGACGGCCTGACGATAGATACTGCGACAAATGGTGGTCGTGGCGTCAGAATGAAGGGCAACAAAGGCGGACGAGGTGGTCGCGGATCGGCTAGAAGACCTAAATCACCACCTCCGGAAGGTTAGTTTCTTCTTAACCGTATCAACCGTGTTTCCAAACTTCACTCGGCTGGAACCCTTGTTCACAACGACACTCATGTTCTCTCCTTTTTTTTTTGGGCGTATGCAGGCTCCAGAGGTTACCGCTCTCTGGACAATTTCATGCAAGGGGCTCCACCCCGCAACGACGAGCCACGCACAACCGACACTAGCGGTCACGCGCCAATAATACTGACGTCAAACAATCTCGGGCAAGCGGCTCCTTCAGCTCCCGCAACGACGGGGTGTTCGACTCGACGTCAGCAAGCTGCTGCCGCTGCGCAGGCTAAGGCTGCACTCATCGCTCAGCAACATGCGACTGCCACTGCTGTGCCTGCGGCGTCTGCGGGTGCTCTTGCAGCACTCGCGCGGCAACAGAAGAAGCAGCATACGCAGTGAACGCAGCAGCATCAGAAGCAGCAGCAGCAACAGCAGTCTCTCGCGGTGCCACCCAACCAAGCCCCGCTCCTCGCGCATCAGCCTCTGCCCCCCAATGCTTCGCCGGCGGCATCTGCGGGGGCCCGAGCTGCGTTTGCCACGCAGCAACAACAACACCAGTCAAAGCAGCAGCAGCAGCAGCAGCAGTAGTCACTCGCGACGCCACCCAACCAAGCCCCGCTCCTCGCGCATCAGCCTCTGCCCGCCAATGCTTCGCCGACGGCATCTGCGGGGGCCCGAGCTGCGTTCGCCACGCAGCAACAGCAACACTAGTCGCAGCAGCAGCAGCAGCAGCAGTCACTCGCGACGCCGACGGCCATGGCTGCACTACTCGCCCACCCACCGCCGCCTGCCAATGCTGCGCCGAACGCATATGCGGAGGCAAACCTGCCATACGCCATGCAGCAGCAGTGGATAAGCACACCGAACAACTCACCCACATCTGCTACATTCGGCTCCATGCTACGCACGCCAGTTGCACCTGCTACTGGAGATGCTACATACCCTGGACAGTAGCACTACTCTCCCCCCCTTGTTCACCCCAATGGTCGTTTCCCCACACTCAATCCCTCACACATGCAGGCTCCGCCAGCACCCGCCAATGTCTCACACGGTGATGTTCCTTGGGCCTCGAATGCCGGCATTCACTCTATTCCCGCCCCATTTTCCCGTAGCGCAGATGAGTATGATTTCACGCGTTGCGACTCGAACGATGTTGGTGCACTTCGTGACGACGTGTTCCCACAAGCCTTCAACGAGCAACAGCCTCACTCCACTGGGCCAGGGACTATGAGCCCGACTATGCCTCATGCTATTGCAGGTGCCATTCCACCTACGCCCATCATCCCGAGTATCCCGCCAGGTGGAGATGACCAAGGACCCATGGGTGAGCCTGAGGATGGCTCTGATGACGATGCCCTGGACATACTGGCACCGCGCGCTGCTGGAGTTCCAGTGAGCAGAGAGGAGTTTGATTCCATGTCAGCCCTTGTTCGATCTCTGCAACAGGAAAATCTGGAGCTGAAGAACCAGGTTGAGACTCTGCGCAAAGTTCCCTCCTCCTCCACCCGCCCCTCGAGCGATTCGGAGACACCACGCTACCTGACAAACACAACAAGCTGTGGGAGTTGCTATTGCTGTCGCGTACAGGACGAAGGTGCCATTGAGCAAAGACATCGTGGCTCCAGAGTTTCATGATTCTCTCAGATGCTCGCGACGGCAATGATGTCGGTACCACCTCTCCCACATGGTCTAACTGTAAGCTGAGGTTCATCCTGTTCCCACTTGCATTACCCCTTTGTAGACATCCCCGTTGTCATGCATACACGCCAATCCTTCCTCACTACGCTTAACAAACGATTCCTCCCTCCCCCCCCACCCCTTCCCCCCCCCCCTCCCTCCCCCCTCCCCCCCCCTCTACCTCACAGCTTGTCCTGAACGACACATGGGATATTATCTTTTTTCGATCCCCAAACAACAGAGTCGATTTTTGGCCGGCGCGGTGCATTATTCTGGGCGCCATGGGGTTGAAGATGGGTTACACGACGACAGCACAGAAGTGGAACCTGCGGCACGTGTACCAGTTCGACTTAGACAGGCGGGGGTACATCCGTGACAGGCTCCAGGCTTTCAGGCACGAACTCTTGACATCTCGCCGGGTCTCGGTGATCAACTCCTTCAACCTTCGCATATTGCGCCCAGACAGGCGCCGGCAGGTGCACGGAAGCAACACCATCTCCTCGTTCATGTCTGTCTTCAAACCATGTAACTGCCATTGTGTATTCACTGTTAAACTGTAGCAAGGCCATCCCCCGATCTCCGTCTTGCCTCTGCCTTACTCTCTGCCTGGCAGAGCCACTGCAAGGCACAGCAGCTCCACAACCAGCTCCTCCCCCCCCATCTCTATCTCTCCCCTGCCTTACTCTCTGCCTGGCAGAGCCATTGCAAGGCACGGCAGCTTCACAACCAGCTCCTCTCCCCCCATCTCCGTCTCTCCCCTGCCTTACTCTCTGCCTAGCAGAGCCACTGCAAGGCACGGCAGCTTCACAACCAGCTCCTCTTCCCCCATCTCCGTCTCTCCCCTGCCTTACTCTCTGCCTGGCAGAGCCACTGCAAGGCACGGCAGCTTCACGACCAGCTCCTCTCCCCCCGTCTCCATCTCTCCCCTGCCTTACTCTCTGCCTGGCAGAGCCACTGCAAGGCACGTCAGCTTCATGACCACCTCCCCTCCCCCGATCTCCGTCTCGCCCCTGCCTTACTCTCTGCCTGGCAGAGCCACTGCAAGGCACGGCAGCTTCACAACCAGCTCCTCTCCCCCCATCTCGGCCTCTCCCCTGCCTTAATCTCTGCCTGGCAGAGCCACTGCAAGGCATGGCAGCTTCACAACCAGCTCCTCTCCCCCCATCTTCGTCTCTCCCCTGCCTTACTCTCTGCCTGGCAGAGCCACTGCAAGGCACGGCAGCTTCACGACCAGCTCCTCTCCCCCCATCTCCGTCTCTCCCCTGCCTTACTCTCTGCCTGGCAGAGCCACTGCAAGGCACGGCAGCTTCACAACCAGCTCCTCTCCCCCCATCTCCGTCTCTCCCCTGCCTTACTCTCTGCCTGGCAGAGCCACTGCAAGGCACGGCAGCCCCTAACCAGCTCCTCTCCCCCCATCTCTGTCTCGCCCCTGCCTTACTCTCTGCCTGGCAGGGCCACTGTAAGGCACGGCAGCATCACAACTGTCAACGGGAGTTGTATGTTGGCCCCGTCCACGCTTGGGCGGAGCCGACTTCGTGGTCGGGTGTAGGGTGCAGCCGACCTGCAGCAGTGGGCAAGTTGGTCGACGAGGTTAGTCGACCTGCACGGGGAGCCACTACATGGGCGCCGACTTCAGGAGGGCGCCAACTTCGTCTGGTCGACCCGGGACCCCGACCAGACCTTCTGGTCGACTCGGGACATCGACCAGACCTTCTGGTCGACCCGGGACGTCGACCAGACCTTCTGGTCGACCCGAGACGTCGACCGAGCGGCTCCTGGTCTACCTGGGAAGTCGACCAGCCCTTCTGGTCGACCTGGGACGTCGACCAGACCTTCTGGTCGACCAGGAGTCACGTCGACTTGGAGCTGGTCGACCAGGGAGTAGTGGTCGACCTGGGGAGGTCGAGTGGGGGTGGTCGTTGACTTGGGAGGTCGACGGGCACGCGCAGGAGCAGCTGGTCGACCTGGTTGCCCGATCGACCATGCTACCTGGGTGACGAGGGTCTGCGAAGGCACGCGAAGGTCGCCCAGGAGAAGTTGGTGAGCCTGACCTCGGTGGTGGTATCCCGAGGTCGTCGAGGCGGATCAGAGGCAGTCGTCAGCGCGAGGTTGACGTGGTGTGTGCGCTGTGCAGGTGACGGGACTCTGCGCACCAATCATCTGCACACACCTGCAAAGCGGGTGCACTGCTGTTCTGTGTGAGCAACGCTGGCACGCCGTCAACCAGCGATGTTGGCACGCCGTCGACCTTGCACTGCTGGAGCGCGGTCGACCAAGTCGTGCTGGAACGCGGTCGACCAAGCTGCGCTGGCAGTTGGCCGACCTGAATGCTAGCTTTGATGTAGTCTTGCATTGCCAACTTCATTGTATCATTTTTGTTGTCAACTTTCTCTAGTGAAACCCTTGCCTAATTACCTCGTGAACTAGCAAGCAGTGTATGCACTAGGAAAAAAAATAAGGACCAACGAACGCAGAGATCACACGAGCACCCGTGCCTAGCCCGTAGTCTAGCTCCCATTGCAGTAGTTATCTCCGCATGGTGCGGTGAGCGTGGACGGCACACGACTTACCTTTTGTCAGGTCGACGTAGAGGTCACTTACCTAAGTTGTTCGGAGGCCGGCAGCCGTGCAGTCACTAGCGTGCGCGTAGGGAATGGAGACCCTGGAAGAACAGCTGGAGGACGCGAGGACACGCCATAGGGCCCAAGAGTACGGAACGATCCCTTGGGCGGTTGTGGAGGCTGGCGTTCCCACCATGTGGGCGACGTTGCACCCTCCTCAACCTGCGTCTCCTTGACCGGTGAACACAGAGGGCGGCGTCGACGTCGGCGTCAACGCCGGTGGTTACCAGGTCGGTAGCAGTGCGTGAGGCACGTCGAGGCAGAGAGATGTGATACACGCCGATGAAGTCGGCGGCGTTCAGGTGCAGGGAGTGCGGCCGTCGGTGGCTGCAGGCTTCTCGCATGGCAACGTCGGAGGTCGACGAAGTTGGTTGTCGCCGATGTCGGCGACCCAGGTGACGGCGGGCGGGATAGCACCGAGCTACGGCTACTTCAAGTTTACGCCGGACAGGATTTTGGTCACCCCGCTGCTCACTGGTCGACCTAACATCCTCACCTGGAAGGAAGCTATCGAGCCCCAGCTAGAGATGGCTAGGCTGATCGGCTTCGCCCGAGGGACAGTGGCGACGCCGGAGGAGCATCACGTCGACTTACGAGCGGAGTTCCGCGCCGTGCAGCCGTTGACCTTCACGGTCATCTCGCGGTGCTGCTCGCCGGGCGTGCAGATCGCCTTGAAGTGGTGCCGAGAGTACCTCGACGCCGGCCACCGAGCGTGGCACTTCATTGAGTCGACCTACCAAGTCACCGACGTCTTGTTCATCGCCCAACTGGAGGGGCAGCTGACGCACCTGCGTATGGGCGACGAGGAGACAACGACCGACTATTGCAACCGAGCCCGACGAATTCTCGCCACCATCAGGATGGTCGGCGCGCAGTACTCGACGGCGTCGTACGTCACCCACGTCATGCAGGGACTCTCGAGCAGCTACAACCTCTTGAAGCGGCTGTCAATGGCGCCGAGCACGAGGTCGACGCTCAACGAGGACAACTTGACCTCGTACATCCTGCAGGATGAGGCGATGCAGGAGGCAGAGCGGTCACAGGAGCTCTTGGCGCAGGCGAACTTTGTCGCCCCGGTGAAACAAGGAAGTCGACCGGGGCAGCGCGGACAGTCTGGCGGCGGCGGTAGCAGTGGCTGGAAGTCGGCCAAGGAAGTCGACAAGAAGAGGTCGACCAAAGACAGCGGTCGAGGAGGAGGAAGTCGACGTTGGGAGTGCTGGCTGTGCGGCGACCCCGACCACCTCTCCTTCGAGTGCCCCAACCGCAGTAACTGCGACGACGACGACGCCAAGGGAGGCCGCCGGAGGTCTGGAAGTCGTCGTCCTCGTCGAGGAGGAAACAAGCCGCGCAAGGAGAAGCAATCGGCGACGTCGACCTCGGCGAAGGACGCCGACTCCTCTGCAGGTGGCAAGGGGCAGGATGACAAGACGGCGTCGTGCTCGCTGGTCAGCGTCGTGGAGCCGACTGTCTCGCTGGCGCCGGAGGCTGGAGAGAACTTCCAGGCGGTGGCGGCAGCTGTGCAGGCAAACCCAGCGGTGGTCTTGCTTGACAGCGGCTGCTCCCACCACCTGATGGGGACGAAGGAAGTCTTTGTCGACCTGCAGCCGAGCGGCTCCTTTAAGCACGTGCGTAGCTTCAATGGGGCATTGCAGGACGTCCAGGGCCGTGGCACCGTCGCCCTGCAAGGAGAGGCCGGGAAGCAGGTGCTCATCCCCGACGTGCTGTACGTCCCGGGTGTGCGGGCAAACCTGCTGTCGTCCGGCCAGCTGAAGGAGCACGGCGTGAAGATGCAGGAGGACGGAGACGGCATGCTGCTCATCTCGGCGGCCGGGGAAGTGCTCGGTCAGGCGACGTACTCCGAGCGTGTCCTCTGCACCGACCTGCGTCCCTACTCAACGAGGTCGACGTCGCCCACGATGGAGGTTGTGGCCCTGCGGGCGATCGTCTCGAGGACGAAGTCGACGCCGGACAGGATGCATGCACGGCTTGCGCACGTCGGCATGGACACCATACGGAGCTCGCCGAAGCACGAGGTCGCCACTGGGCTGGACCTCAAGTCGGCGACGGGCGCCAACTCACCGTGTGTCTCGTGCGTCGGTGGGAAACAGGCGCGGCACACCTTCCCCGACAAAGGCTCCGACGCCGACGACGTGCTTGCTGTCGTGCACATCGACCTGTGCGGGCCGTTCCACGTGGCTGCCAAGGACGGCAGCTTGTACTTCTTGCTGCTCAAGGACCGCAAGACCCGCTTCCTGTGGGTGAGGCCGGTCGCCAAGAAGTCAGATGTGCTGTTGGAGTTCCAGAAGTGGCTGGTGTTGGTGGAGAGGCAGGTGAAGAAGTCGGTGCTGATGCTGCGCTCAGACCGAGGAGGGGAGTTCCTCGGGAAGAAGTTCACCGACTTTGTGGATGGCAAGGGGATCGTCAACGACCTTACCTTCCCGTACACCCCGCAGCAAAACCGAATGGCGGAGTGGGAGATGCGGACGGTGGTGGAGTCGGTGCGGACGATGATGCTGCACATGGGCGTGCAGCACCACTGGTGGCACCTCGCTCTGCGGCAGGCCGTCTGGATCCGCAACTGCCTTGAGAGGTCGACACTTCCGCCGGGGACGACGCTGTACCAACTGCTGACCGGGCAGGAGCCCGACTTGTCGCTGGCGCGGGTGTGGGGCTGCATGGCACAGTTCTTGGTTCCCGAGCAGCAGCGTGGTGGAAAGCTGAAGCCGAAGGCCAGGTGGGGCGTTCACCTCGGCGTGTCGGAGGAGATAAAGGGCTGGGAGCTCTTCGACGTCGCCGACAACCGGGTGGTCACCACGTCGGACGTGGTGTTCTACGAGGATCTGTCACTGGAAGTGTGGAAGTCGGAGAACGGGCCGGTGTCAAGGCGGACGCCGACCACGCCACCGACCGACACCTCGACGGCGACGCTGCCTTTACTCGCCGAGGTCGGTGAGCTTGCCGCTGAGGATGTCGAGGACGTCCGTCCTCCTTTTCCCCCTTCTCCAACCCCTGCCCCTCCCCTCCTGGCCGACCTACGTGGGCTGACCTTGGTGTCGGCCTCCGGCGATGAGGGGAGTAGTGGGACGTCACCTTCGGCGCCGGCCAAGGGCATCGCCAGTGGCCGACATGACGAGCAGCAAGTCGACTTGATAAGGGAGGAGCACGTCGATGAGGAGCAGCCGATTTGGGTGAAGTCGACAGGGGAGCAGGCAGCAGTGAAGCCGACCACGGAGCACTCGGCAGGGGAGCCGACCACAGGGGAGAAGTTGGCCAGGAAATCGATCGAGGGCAGAGAAGACGATGACAAAGGAGGGGACGCCGAGCAGTCCACCGATAGCGACGTGGTGGAGGTTCGGCCTGAACCTCGGAAGTCAGGACGACTTCGGAGGCCACCCGACTTCTTCTTTCGTGCTGCCTTCACCACTATGTACGACGTCGAAGACGACGACCTGGCGTATGACGACGCCGAAGAGGATGAGGAGTTTTCGGAGCTCGACCCCGACATGCATGCCGACCCCGAGCATCGTTGGGACATCTCGACGATGATGGTGAAGGAGGCGTTGGCGAGCTGGAAGGGGCCGCTAGTGAAGGCCGCCATGGAGGAGGAGATCCGTAGCCTCATCAACATGGGCACTTGGGAGCTGGTCGAACGTTCGCCGGGAGTGAACATCATGAAGAACCGGTGGGTGTTGACGACGAAGTACCACGTCGACGACGAAGTACCACGTCGAGGACACCATCGAGCGTGAGAAGGCGAGGCTGGTCGTGAAGGACTT